ATATATATATATATAAAGTCAGCTACCGCCTCCAAATCATCGCTGAACGAAGCTGTAGTAGCTGCAACCACTGTACGGCAAATGAATGGTTCTTTCGGTTGATGACTTCGAATAACCGCTGCACGGCAAGTACGTGGTTTTTTCAGCCGATGATGGTGATGCCGCTGCTGCTGCTGCTGATAATAATAATAATAACACTTATTACAATCATAAGAATGAAGTTTCAGAGTGGGGACGCGCCAACAGAATGCGTCAGTACGCCCTAATAATATCTTGTTTGGTGACGTACCGTCTGCAAGTTAAGTGCCAAACTCGGTGAACAGGTCAATGGCCACATGGTTAACAACAAGTAAACAGTCGATCTGTTGGAAGTACATCACCCATTCGTAGGGTGGTTCAGTAACTCGAGGAACTCATAAGGTCATTGCGACAACTCTTGTCACCAGAATTCCAGCAACTGACCGACTGGTTGCCTGCATCTGACTAGCCCCAACCTTGCTATCGATTTCCTCTTCAGCAACGCTCAGTCGTGACGCTTGTGGTGCCTGGGTGTAACACATGGAAAACGAACAGATTCATCTGAATGTTGTTTTCGGTAAGTAGACCCATCCATTTACAGCTTACGCACTCGCCACCTCATTTCTTCTGAAAAGGTGGACAGACGTCAAAGCTTAATGTGCCTGTGGGAGCTAAGGTGATGGACTTGATGTCAACCATACAGGGGACATTTCATGTTCCCACGTGCAAACAGCGCCTAATCTTCAAAGGTTACCTCAGCTTTGGCCGTTGTTAGAGACAAAAATCCTTCATAGGTAAGTCACTGATGGAACCGGAACAAACCCTTGAGGCTTGTGGCATTAAGAGCGGATCGAAGATCATGGTACTCGGATCGGCAAGTTCATGTTTGTCTGTTTGATCTTTCTCCCAACGTAGGTCGATGTGCTTGACCCTGAGGAAGCACACAAATTGCAAGTGGCCAAATTACAATCTCGTGATCTTGCTGCCGAGTTAGAGCAATTGAGTGAGCAGATCAATTCTAATGTGAGTTGAAACTAAAAGTCGAAAAGCAAATTTCACCGAATAACTGGGTCAAATGGCAGGTTTCAACTTCCTGTGTTTTTTTACCATAGCCTACTAACTCCAAGTCCGAACTGACTTCATCACTAAAGCAAACAGTTTCCCTCCTGGAGCGCTGTATGCAATGTCTGGAGCTGGTTGACTCTGTGCGCCTCCCCTACGATTGTGAATCGGAACGTGCTGATAGAAAAGAACTTGTGGATTTTCTTCAAGTAAGCATCTTTATTTTCTACCACAAGTGTTGGTAATTGGTACGTTTCACGTCGCAAGTCAGAGGTCAAGACTTCGACACTCATATTGCCGCTGAACGCGGTCTTATGTTGCTGTCAGACTCAGTCGTCAAGAAGCGAACGTACTGACAGGAATGTCCGTGGTGCGAACCCAGCCTCTGTCTAGGCTTGGACAACCTGGCAGTATCTTGGTCCTTGTACTTCCTTCTGGTGCCATGGTAGCCAGGTTCCAAAACTATGTTACAGCCTCTTGATTGAGGTCTATGGTAAATATTTCCTTCGTTTCGGTGTGGTCAGTACTACAACACTGAACTTTTCCCGTGGTCGCGGAAATCGACACAAGTGTGTTTGGCCTATCGGCTGCTGCCTTGAATTCCGTCATTCATGTCAGATAAGGCTGAATTTTTTTGTTTGCATCAGGAAATCTTCCAAGGGACAGACAAGACAGCGATCGAACGACTTATGCGGATGGTTCACACCGCACAAGTTTCCTATCTGTTTGTTTTTAAGAATCAGATGAAAGCCTGAAAAGGGCTGTGCATCGATCAAGAAGAATGTCTTTCTATGAAAACTTGAAGACAAAAAGTGTTCCTAATGTAAAAAGATCTAGAAAAGTAACTTCGTTCGTTCCTGTGGGCGTCCCGCTTAACGGGGACTCCTTGTACTTTACTATTTTCAATATGTGTTTGATTAGCCTGTCGTGGTTTTTGGAGATACGGCTGTAGCACCCTTTCGGTGCCTAACTTACATGCCACCTGAAGGAAGCACGAGGGCTGGGATACTGCCAGGTTGCCCGAGTCTAGACATGGGAAGTCCAGAGGCAGAGGTCGGGTTCGAACCACTGACCTTCCGGTCAGTAGATTCGCGTTCAAACCACTTGGTCCATCGCGCCCCCGAGATACAGTAAAAACCTTCTCGGTCTACTGTCCAACTCCAGTATGATCCTACATCTGTTACCCTTCCCTGTAAGACTATTTTTTGGGTCAACGTGAGTACGAATAGGTCTGTACAGATTTTGCCATTGATTGACTTGGGAATAAGATAATTGTGGAAATCAGAACTGTTTAAGGTAGGAGACATCTGACCAGCCGCGGATTTGGCCGATGTCCGACGAGAAACATGAGTCTCCAATTACAACCGAAGGTTACACAATGTGTCTTGGAAACAGTTATTTTGAAAAAAAAGATGGTTTGTGTAGCAGAACACGAACTTTACTTTAAGTGCTTTCAATCAACCAGGTGTGCTGCAAGTTGACAGAATTATACCATCATTTCGGTATCTTCAGTTTTGATACCGCATTCCACCAGACTGTCTACCCTAGAGGTCCGACCTGGTGTGACCGGTCGGTGGAAGTTTCCTCATACCAAGTCATAGGGTAGAGCAATCTCTTAGTTCCCCATTTCGCAGGTTGGCACTTGACCAACGTTCCTCCGAAAGCACTGAAGATCGATTGTAGTGTGGTCAGGCTTTTGAATGAAGGACTGGAAATGAATCACTCAGTGGGTTAGTTTTGCAGCTCCCAGAGGCTATTTTCCTCACCACATCTTTGAATTTTAACAAGGATCTTTATATTCTTGCTCAGACTACTATCCTCTCTGTTTCGCATATTCCATTTTAGGATCTGATGGTGAAGGTGGACGCGGTGAAAGCCAAACTCATGCAAACCACTGTGACCGAATGACTGTACCCCATGTTCCCAACTTATTGTTCCCGTATAACAGCAGAGTTCATCATGAGAGCTATTTTGTTTTATTTTATTTTTTCAAATTTCTTCGTCAATTACAAAAATATCGTTTTGAACATGTGAGGGAATGGACGAGAAAGTGGGACGAATCGTTGTCATCGGCGCATACTAGTCATCGGTTCCCCGAATTTCCTTGACTGAAGCGAAACAGTATACCTGTTTGAGGGGAAATAGAGGGAACGCGCACGAACGAATTAACTGGAAGAAATCAAAGCCGTTTGACATGTAATCTCGGCTTTGCCGTGTAAGTTTGCCAGGATACTTTGTCTGAAGGAAGAAGGAATCACTATGGCTGGGATACTGTCAGGTTGACCAAGCCTAAACAGGGGGAAATCGAGAGGCAGAGTGGGTCGGGTTCGAACCACGGACCTTCCGGTCAGTAAATTCGCGCCCTAACCACTTGGTCCATCTCGCCCCCTGGTAACTCAAGGCAGACGTTTTTTTTTGAAAGTTGTATGGTTAGAACCAATATTTAGTAGACTGGTTACGATAACAACATGGACCTCTAGGGGACGGAAACTACTCAAAAGTTTGATATAACGGCAGGATTGTCTGTGCTTCTAGTAAGTGCGACCGATTTTGTTCTTCTCTAGAACCTGCTCTTGTGGACGGTGGGCACCGTGGTTCTATAAGATATGACTTTTGTCCGAGAGGCTCTGCTACATACATCCTGTTACTCCCTAATATATCTAACATATTGCTGTCTCAAGTACACTTTGATGTTTATTAAAAACCTATCTTCCGAAGAGGCTACTTGGCCGGTTTCTCCCTAACACCCCAGGGTGATCCCACTTATTTGGGCCCTCTCTGTCTCGCTAGGAGGTGGAACAACCCTTCATCTGTGAATTTAAACGCTCAGATAGACTTACCAAATCCTCGGCCATAATTTCTGTGTCCACATCCGGAAATGTGTAAACATATCGCTCTATCTGATTGCCGACTTCCCTGGTTACGGTGTCAGAACGTTCACTCTGTTGATCCTCATCGATTTCGTCAACCACGCGACGGTAGAGTCCGATACAAATTGTACTGGAGGCCATGAGAACCATCTCGAACAGGTTGCCGAAGGTTAGGTATGCGTTAGTCTAAATGTCGGGGAGAAGAGGAAGGAGTCGATTGAATATTGGATGGTGTGCTTTGGTTTATCACCATCATCGACAGCATGACATCAGTGTTCAACACTGATGCTTCACTGACGTACAACCATGATTTACTTGAAAGCCTTATTGTAAAGAAAAGACAAGAGTGGATGGGGGGGGGACTTAGTGCTAGCTTACCACAATCATTCCGAGGTGCCTATACCTCCAGACATTCACTCAGGCAATCTGGATAGAAACTGACAACAAGAACGCCACTGACATCGGTTGGCAGCCATATCTTGTAGTGTCTACAACCAGGTACAGTGAGGATCACGCGGTCCCCATCCTGGAAGGGGAGTAGCGATTTCGGCGAGCTAAGCCATCAGGAGCTTTGGTATTCAAACGCAGCTTGGCCATTCGATCGAACACTGTGAAAACTAATAAACTGGTTTTGTGGGATTCTTTGGTTGAATTGCCCATGCAATTCTCTTGGGACATCTGACAGGCATTTATTACCAGTGAATGGTTCATACGAAAATAGTCACTTTCTGATCTGGTACTTCCTCCCTTTGGAGGAAATTCAAGGATATCATCTCTGTATCCATGGCTATATTCGGCAACAGACTGTTTTGGCAAAAACGTGGTCAAACCACCGATAGTTGGCAACCCCCTCCCCGACCACGTGCGGACTGCTACCTAAAGAGTCTCTGTTTAGACGCTGTCATAATTTCGCACGAGATCAAGAAGTCGGAAGGTTTCCCTGGACAGCTACTCGTGTTGCCTTCACAAAGATCTCACAAGAACATTTTCATAAAGGAAACTACTCACAAGGTTGCTGAAAACTCTTTGACAGCCCACGACCGGTTTCGCCCTTCTTGGGGCTCATCAGGTAGGCGCAGTCCCCGAGTTTCCGTCAACCTTATGATCTACTTGAACCCAAATTGCACTGTTTTCGAGAAATACCCGAGTTTCCGTCAACCTTATGATCGACTTGAACCCAAATTGCACTGTTTTCGAGAAATACACTCATCTGCAAGTCAATTTGGTTTTCACGGGAGAACATCATAAACGAGAGATTCAATTGAGTCTCCCGTGAAAACCAAATTGATTTGCAAATGAGTGTATATCTCACAAGAACGGTTTTTTCATCACTGAGCTCGTGGTCACTACTCTGCAGCCTCGAAACATCCCGTAAATGGTCAGTTACGTTAAATTAAGAACAACCTGATCGCGGGTCAATTCATTTCTTAAACCGGTCTCGTGCAATCCGCGTAAAGCGAAGTAAGAGGAAACCAACTGCAGAAACAGTTGCATCATTTATGTGGAAATAAACTGTCGGGCCGCAAATGAGCGAAACCAACTTAGTCTCAGATCGCCTTGAAAAACACATCAGAATGTTGCGTAGAGCGCTTCCAGGTGGGTCTAAGAAAGAAGGTGTCGTGCGGTAAGGAATCGTCAAACGATTGGTTTTCATCCAGAACGTGCTAGAGGAGGCAAAACCGTGTCGGAGTTAGAACGAGTCACCCTCTAGTGTCATATCAAGTCTCGCGATTAATGGTAAACTGGAATCGATGTGGATCCGTTACGAACCATCCCGCCTGCATTAACTAGAGGCCCACACCAGAATGTAGCAGCGAACAATATGGTGAAATTCGTAATGCACTACTCATAGGGTTGCTGTCTAGTGTCAAAGTCTCGCGATTAATGGTAAACTGGAATCGATGTGGATCCGTTACGAACCATCCCGCCTGCATTAACTAGAGGCCCACACACACATGTAGCAGCGAACAATATGGTGAAATTCGTAATGCACTACTCATAGGGTTGCTGAAAATTCTTCGGCATCCCACGACCGTTTTCGCCCTTCCTGAGGCTCATCAGGTAGGCCCAGTCCCCAAGTTTCCGTCAACCTTATGTTCTACTTGAAACCAAATTGCACGAAATTAGCAAAACACACTCACTCTGCACCCACCTGATAAGCCTCAAGAAGGGCGAGACGGGTCGTGGGCTGTCGACGGATTTCCAGCAACCTTATGAGTAGTGCATTACGAATATATATGTATCGCGATATCTCGAATATTATAGCGAATGAAACATGAGGCGGCCTGGTGCAGCACATTCAGTTTCCTGACGGTAAATCCTTGACAGCCCACGACTTCCTTACAAGAGGAGAGGAAATATCAGGCCCACCACAGCAGATGTGTCCGGAAAAAGCGGACTGTTCGTAGATTCCATTTTGACATTTTCAGTCATTTTACGCAAGTTTTGAACAAAATCAATCATTGATCTTTGAAACAAACATACCTGTCCTTGAGATCTGAACGGTCGATCTCGCATACTGAGCAACCAGCCGCTTCTTGCGTGACTGGTATGGTTGGACAAGGCCTGTCTGATCAATTTCTATATGGTCGAACTTTTTTATTCAACCTGTATGCAAAGTAATTCCTTCGTACTTGATAAAACCATGCGATAACTGACCAGGAAACACTATACAGCATAAACCCCAAGAAGAAACAAAACAGTCATCGTTTTACCTGTTACTACCATTCCACGAGCCAAGCCGCGCCACGTGACCACTCTGTTCCTGAACACAGCTCATCTTCTGTTCAATCGGTGAGGTAACATCCTAGTAGTCTTACTGATTCCCTCTCTTGGAATAATCTCATTCAATTTCGAAATTGAAATCGTCCAGCTGTAGCACCCTTTCGGTGCCATGCCACCCAAAGGAAGCACGAGGGCTGGGATACTGCCAGGTTGCCCAGGCCTAGACAGGGGAAGTCCAGAGGCAGAGGTTGGGTTCGAACCATGGACCGGTCAGTAAATTCGCGCTCTAACCACTTGGCCCATCTCGCATTCGATTTACTTAACGGCCTGTTTCATATTTCACATGGAACACTATTCGAGATGTCGCAACACACTACTCACGAAACATAAGGCGGTATTGCATACTCAGTTGAACGTAAATCAGAGATCAAACTGGGGTTCAAATGAACCTTCAGTTAGAGTCAAATTAGTTAAAAAAAATGACTGTATTTGTCGAATTTCGTGCTGCTAAAACTTTCAGGGGCCTTATGAGTAGTAAGTCGTGTCTTCTGCACACTGTTACATTCTGACTTTGAGGTCAGAAACCGTTAAACTAGCAAACAAAGGGGTACGTTTTAAGGATGAATGGTATACTTTCACTTTCAACAATCAGTAAGTCACACAATTGGCTCGTAAACTTACCTCGCGCATTATTTTCACTGGATCCACACCCAGCGCCGATAACGGTAAAAGTCGTATGTAGGGAGCACGCATTTTGACCGAGTCTCCTGAAATGCGTACAAAAAATGAAAGAATTACTCTAGGCGAAATACACTCATTTGTCATTTTTCGGAGATTCAACTGTGGAAACGTTTTCGGCAGCCTTGCGAGAAGTGTCTGCCGTCCAGAAATGTCTTTATTTAAGCCGTTAGCACTCGCACCACAGATTCGCCAGTGAGTGGAATTCACAGGGTGGGAATCGGAAAGCAAACTGTTCGGGTTTCCATCTCGCACTCAAAATCATCCTGTTCTGAGGAGCCTACACGCACATTACATTCGTTTAATCCTTAGTGAGGAATAAAATCAGTGCGCAACTCAAGAGTCTCCAACAGCGCTTGAACCCGTGACCTTGTAGAGGTCCAAACACCTTATGTGGGTTTGGACTTCTACTATTCGACAGTTGGACTAACCAGCACCAACGTATCCCGTAATCACCCATTTCAGGTCAGCTGATCAGAAGGTGATTGGCTGCAGTAGCCACATTGTTATAAGTCAAGAAGGGCTGGCTAGAATAAAGCATACTTTTGGTAATTGATCAGGCGGGACTAACCAGCACCAACGTATCACGTAATCACCCAGTTCAGGTCAGCTGATCAGACGCTGATTGGCTGAGTAGCCCTATTGTTATAAGTCAAGAAGGGCTGGCTGGGATAAAGCATACTTTTGGTAATTGATCAGGCGGCTGTTAATCTGTTCGCCGAGCTTGGCAATTGATTTGCAGACGTTTCGTCACCACTCGGGAAGACATCTTCAGTGCGCTGTTGGCTGGGTAGGCTCCCTCTTCGTGCTTGCGTTTATATAGTTTACAAAGAGAAGCCTTTGCGCTGTAACCTGGATTCTGGTTGGTCCAATCATCTTAATCTGCGTCGAGTCGTAGTTTGTAGTTCTTGCTCCCTGTTGAAATTGCGGTCCATTGTTGTCTCTTTCGGTTGGCTCGTTCTTGATCTGTATTGCGTCGTGGTCGGCTTCTGTGTCGATTTGTAATGTACCTCCTATTTTTAGTAGTTCGGTGTTCTATTGATTTCTTCTTTGAGTCCTTGTTCGGCCTCGGGTTTTATGGTTCTGGATTTGCCCTCAGATTAAGATTAAGATCGGACTAACCAGAATCCAGGTTACAGAACAAAGGCTGCTGTTCGTAAGCTATATAAACGCAGGCACAAAGAGAGCAACTACCCAACCAACAGCGCACTGAAGATGTCTCCTCGAACGATGACGTAACGTTTGCAAATCAGTTGCCAAGCTCGGCGGACAGATCAACCGAATAATGCACCGGAGCTACCAATATTCCAACAGATTACCCAAGTATAGTTACTTAGAGGGGTGGATACTCTACACTGAGTTCAACAGCTCACAGCTATCAGAAAAAGGATCTGATCTGATTGGTAATCAGGATAGTTGACCTTTTCGGGATACTGTCACATCTTCACATATCGAGCCAACTGCGTCAGTGGCTATTGGGCTTTTCTGTCTCCATGAGGATGTCTGATCCTTACTAAGCCGGATCTCTGTTAATTCATCCTCAGAGGTCAGCTGGACCCCTGTGGCTAAGGCCTATTGTTAAGCAATTAGTGCTTCATAAAGGAAACTGCTCACAAGGTTGCTGAAAACTCTTTGAGAGCCCACGACCGGTCATGGGCTGTCGAAGAGTTTTCAGCAACCTTGTAGTTATCTCGAATATCGTGCCAACTGAAACATGAGGTAGTGGCCTTTGTGCAGCACATTCAGTTGTAGAATATCATGAAAACGAGAGATTCAGTTGAGTCTCTCGTGAAAACCAAAGTGATTTGCAAAAGAGTGTATTTCTCGAACACCTAGTGTTTCCTTTTCAGGTCAAGGTATTTCCGTCCTGGGTCATTCTCCAGTAAGAACAGGCTTTAGCAAATAGCGTACAATGATGCATTCGACCACTTGGCAGTAATACGCCAGAGGTCTCCAACATTGTTCCATTCGTGTGAATGAATTACTTAAACATATTAGCTGACCACCATAGATTGAACGATTGGAAGCAAGCATTACCGTAAGCCACTTGCAACAGAGCTCTCTTGTAAGAAAAACCACTCTCTAGTGGGAGGAGGGAGGGAGGAGGGCCTTCCTGTCGGATAGTTTAAGCTTTCTCATCCCTGCAGAGTTCCATCCAGCTTCTTATGAAAGCCGTGGATTCTTTCTTCGAAGCACAGTCAATAGGAACATTTCAGCACCGTTTAAATGTTCACAACACATTAGGAAACAGATAGATCCCCTGTGAAAGTCAAGCTTGTTGACTGTCTTTGACAATAACTCACGGACAGGTAAATTTCAGCAGAGTACTCAAAGTCTTGGAAGTTGAAGAACTGAGCAAAGTCTGTGTTGCTGTAAACGTGATCTTGGAATTTGTCAGGCTGACACCGGGAACCGGTGATAGGTGGGTATCGACTAGATTTGTGAGTGACGTTTGGGATAACAGGGTAGGATTTTGTTCGCTGCCACTACTACTTAAAAACTACTTTCTATTGTGGGAGACTCGCCTAGAAAACTTTACAAACGAGAGGTTCAGCTGGGTTCCACACAAAATCAAATTTGTTTGCAAATGAGTGTATTTCACTGATTTCGTGCAATTCGGTTTCAAGTAGAACATAAAATTGAAGGGAACTCGGGAACTGCGCCTAACTGATGGACCCCGAGAAGGGCGAAACCGGTCGTGGGTTGTCGAAGTGTTTTCAGCAACCTTGTGAGTAGTTTCCTTTATGAGTAGTGTATTTCGTCTATACTTTCTATTACGATATTAAATGCAAGACAGACCACTTGAGGCCGAATGAAACTCATCAGAATGAGGTAGAATGATGTCTCCTTCACCCCAACTCCGAGGGATCGCCTTATGGGGCAGGTCTATCCGGCTTATTCTGACACGAGGTGCCGGTGTTCCTAACGGTTTTGATCTCCAACAAACGCGAATTTACATAATAAAAGGGCGAAGACAATTGAAAGGACCAATGCCTACCTGTTTTGGTCGTGTAGCTCAAGAAACTGGTACTCGTTGACAGACGCCAAGGTACCATCAAACTAGGTTTCACATTCGTAGTTAACAGGTTACCATCGACGGTCAGATTGTCCCCAGATTTGGCCCAGCTGATGCGGTGTTGTCCGCCCATCGACTTGGGATGATCACGCGCCGCGACGCATTCGCCCTCGGACTCCTTTTCCTGAACGGATGACAAAACCGCACGCTTGTCTAACATCGGTGAATCGGCGTCTGGAGGCTTCATGAAAATCGGTTGATCGTTATCCACGGATTCGACGGAGAACTTTTCAGCCCCTGAGGTAGATTCTCCTGTGAACAATGATACGGTTGATTGTTGGTTTCCAATCGCCGGTATCTGATCTCTCGGCGTCGAATGCTTTTGGCCTCCATCTGCCTGGGTGTCCGCGTTAAATCCGGTAAATTCCAACGAAGTCACCGTGTGTCCGAGCAAGTTGGGGAAAAATCCACTATCCTCGGCGAACAGCTTCTCGACTTCGTGGCTCGGACCGCCTAGAATCACGGTCTCCAAAAAAGTGAGTGCAGTTGGATCGAAGAATACCTGTTTTCGAGGCAAATTTTTTGGAGATATCCAAGTGAATTTCACATCTTGGCTAATGTAGCTGATTTTTATGAATAGCATATTAAAATATCTGAAGCCTTCGAGAAATACAGTCATTTGCAAATCGATTTGATTTACACGAGAGACTTAAGTGAATCTCTCGTTTATGATGTTCTTCGACTGAATGTGCTGCACACAGGCCGCCTCATGTTTCAGTTGGCACGATATTCGAGATATTGCGGTATATTTTCATACAGGAAACTACTCACAAGGTTGCTGAAAACTCTCCGACAGCTTACTCTCGGTTTCGTCCTTCCACTTAGGGCTCATCAGGTAGGCGCAGTCCCTGAGTTTCCATCAACCAAATTGATTTGCAAATGAGTGTATTTCTTGAAAACAGTCCAATTTGGGTTCAAGTAAAACATAAAGTCGACGGAACCTCGGGGACTGCGCCTACCTGATGAGCCTTAATAAGGGCGAAACCGGTCGTGGGTTGTCGAAGAGTTTCAGGCAACCTTGTAAGTAGTTTCCACAAAAAAGTTATGTTGAGGGGAAATCGGTAGGGTATCGACAGTATCAGTTTCTCATACCTTCAGAGTTAAGTTGCCAACGTTTTTCAGAATAGGTGAGCACTCCTAGATAACAAACGGAAGTTTTGTCGCTTTTGTGCAGCGTTTCAAGATGGCAGCCTAAATCATCATCCTGCGTGAACCGGTTGACCGCAGTTATTCACAGCGGACGAGCTTTCGCTAGCTGTTCGACCTAAGCAGTGCAACCGACTGAACACTACTCACGTATCACGCCGTAGTAAAAAAATCGTTCAGCTGTAGCACCCTTTCGGTGTCTAACTGCCATGCCACCCGAAGGTTGCACGAGGGTTGAGATACTGCTCGGATTGCCCAAGCCTAGACATGGGAAGTCGAGAGGCAGAGGTCGGGTTCGAACCACGGACCTTCCGGTCAGTAAGTTCGCGCTCTCACCATTCGGTCAGTCCCGCTACCCAACGCCGTAGTAACAATTGAATGCATCCCAATGCGTCTGTGGTCGACCGACTGGCAGCCTCAAAGGCCATGGGTTCTTTACCACCGATTGCCTGCTATTAATGAAAACCAGTCGAGTTGAATCATGTCTTGCGAATTCGACTCTCCAACTAGCTGGCTGGTACAGGACTTAAAATCCAAGTTTGAATGTACTTGGCGCGTGGTGGGCGAGAACGCCATTAGGACCACTCGGTTTCCAAATGTTAAACACTTGTTCGGTCATTATGTAATAAATTTCGATTTCAAACCCCACAAGACTCAATGTCGCGCAGTGGTAGGCCTTGAAAAACTGGGCGCTGTGGTCTTACACTGTTTTCATGATATACCACACAACTCACAAGGCTGCTGAAAACTATTCGACACCCCGTAGAAAGTAGCTGTTGACTGGTAGCATCCGTCAACAAACTGTTGGCCCAAAAGTCACCCAGAAAAGTAGCTGACATGCACCTACCAGCTCACGGTGTTGTTATGACGAATTTCAAGATAGCTCCCGGTTACTGCAACGCGAACTTTGCTCATCTTTTGTAAGATGACGAAGAGACTGTTTTCATCCTCTTTCTAGATCTTATTCCTCTAGATGGCTTAGTTACCCGACGATCAGACGAGCTGATGTCCGTAGTGGTTTCTCTGATCACTGAAATCCCAGTTTTCCCTCTCAAGAACTGAACCGCAAGTTTGTCTTCACAAGTAATAGAAGACCTAAATTTGGCTTGGAAACTGAAAAAACTTCAGAGTGGTCACGCGCGCATCAACGTTTACATATTTGCTCACGAATCCGAGTAACTAACACGGAAGGCTATGTTCTTTTGAAAAGAAAGTTTCGACCTCACATCTGTTGCTCAGCCATGTATCCCTTTGTTTCGCGAGAACTGTAGCGGCAAACTGAAAATCAGCCAATTATTCCCTTGATTGTATTCCCCCATACTATCAGAGATCGCGCTGGGTATGGGCCCATTACAACTCGCTTCAGAGTCATGTTATGTGGTTTCCTTTTATGATCTTAGGCTGACCGGTTGCCAGTGTGTAACCTGGACGTGGATCAAGCTGCTTTTCCTTATATGTTCAAAAGGTTTATACTACTCATACGATTCCAGTAGTTAAGTGGAAGTCACTAAGTTCACTTACGTTAGAGGCCAGGCTGTTCAAAACTGGTGAGGCGAACATGCTGCCAGCAGCATAGTGCGGACTGAGTCGAATCAGACCATTCTTTGATTTGTATTCGTTTGTGATGGACAACAGTGAGCCGCTCTTCATATCCGCTGAAATCAGAATAAACGGATCCAGTTATTCGGTTGAAACTCCCGTTTTCTGTTGTGATCACAAAGAAATCAACAGCCAGAAACGGGGAGAGAAATTCAGTGTACCGGAGAGAACTACCCAAGGGAGAATGCTTTATCAAGGGTACGGTCTCAGGCAAACGCAAAGGAATCAGAAACGCAGTTATCCTTCGGAGCTGGGGTCAAATTCAAACATGATGCCTTCATCGTCAAAACCAAGAAAGCACAAAAAACGCATTCTACACGAGGTGTATTGAAGAACTTCAGCTGGAGACACGAAATGGATTGTGTGGTTCAGTGGACAATCGGTGTACTATTCAAGAATGAATAGAATAAACACTAGAGAGGTTTATTTCAACTGTTTCTTCGTAAAGCGAAAATCTCAAAGAAGGTATGTGCCCAAAGATCGAACAATGGGAGAGAATTGTAACTACTATAGTGAAATAGGGAATATCGGACCCGGAGAGGAATCACACAAATTCTAAGTGGTCAGGGGTGCCAATTCATGGATGATTGTGTCCAATGTGGACATCACGCTGCAATTTTATGGGAAAATACCATTGGATTGCCCCTTTGATCTGCTGGTTGTTAGTTTGTTCGCCGAGCTTGGCACTCGCCCTGCTATCGCGTCGACAGCAATCGAGGAGGCATTGTCGTTGTTTTCAATGACGATATCTCCTCAACTGGTGACGAAAAGCTTGCAACTCAGATGCCATAGTCGGTGAACAAGCCAATAGTCAGAGTGGTGGCTCGCAACTTTGTCTGCCTGCCTATCTGTCTGTCTATTTCCACGTGCACTAATTAGCCAATCGTATTTTGACGGCATGTGCACACTGATTGGTGCGTCCATGTTAGCTAACTACCATTGGTCCAAAACCAAATCAGTAGTGTGCCAACTGGGGCAGGGCAACATATATCGGATGGTCATTTTGGATGCAATGCACAGCAGTGTGCCAAGAAGGAAGGGTTAATCGATAAGAAGTAGCACTGTACTTGCGGTCCAGTGATTGTCCTGTTCCTCTTAGCCGCTGCTTAGCCCCATTTTCAAAAACTTCTTTTCAAAACAACAGTATTACTAATTCGATCAGCCTGTGAATAAACGTCGCCTTAGAACAATTTTGGTTCGACCAATAATCAATAATGATAGAATTGTTGCATAAGAGTACATATAATTTCCGACTCAGGATTCTCTTTTCGCCGTGTGGGTTAGCCGGGGGAGGCGTCACATGAACTTACACCGGTTTGCAAACCTGCGTGAAGATGAGAATAGGAAGTTCAGATTCCTGGAAATAACCACTGAATACCCGAAACCTACTGAAACCCTCATCTCCGCCAGATGCTGACCAGACAGACAACGCCCCTTCATTATACAGTGCGTGACAGCCTTGTATCAAAGCCAGACAGTGTGAGTCAGCCTTGGATCAAGGTCAAACAGTCTCCCTCCAATGAAATAGCTCAAGGTCGTTTTATTTTCACACCCACGCTCTCTACTCACTTGTTCGCAATCAGGCTGTTGTGTTTCGTATCGATGGGTCTTTTTTTCGGCATTGGAACGAGGGAAGGAGTCAGATACAACAGACTGGCGACTCAGCCAGAAATAACAATAAGTGCTTGGGAAAACTTACATAGGGCAGTGATAACCATGGGGTCACTTCGGATGTTGTCTTCTTCATCTGAAGGGGATTATAGGTACATTATTAAGCGCTGAAAATATTACAGAACAACTGTGAACAGCATATTTGTCTCTTAAAGGTCTCGCATAGGGCATGTGACGCAAGATTTGATCCCTGTGAGTTAAAGGCCTCTTGAACAAATGGTTTGGGTCGGGAGAAGGGTCTGACTGGTTGCTCCGCTGGTGTTGCGAAAAACTAAAAAAAAATCTCGCAGGTTAAGAGGAGGCTGAGGGAAGTACTCTGCTGTAGCAAGTTTTTACGGAGCTGTCAGAAGGGATAGGGGTAGGCTTTATGCGAGCTGCTGTGTAACACGATGCATGTCTGTGGAACGAGTGCATTTCATTGCGCTTTCATGCGGTATTTTTGATGACATGATGAGTCGCGGATCACGCAGATGGCAGTTTCTTTTTATCGTTGGGAGTGTACATGCCCACAACGATCCGGAACGTTCGAGTACCTACTGGAAGACAACTTACTTTCAAAAACATCGTGGGCATGAACCGCGAATGAAGCTTCTCAAGGCACCTGGAAATTTAGACTCATAGCACCAGCTTAGATGAGAGTAACTGCAGAACCAACGTTCCTGTCGAGGTACGCTTCCACAACAGAACACGGAAGACATCCGTAGCCCCTAAGAGACCTGTCTACGTCGAAAATAGTCGAAGAGAGGCTTAAAATTTCTTCTTCAAGAGAACTCCATTAAGAGTTCATTTTATTGGTGCACTGGTGATTATTCGATTATGGCATACATGAAGGAAAATGTCTGTGCTAATTCATTTCTTCTCACCCTCCAGGATGGTACTCGCCGCCCAGGATGGGGACCGCGTGATCTTCACGGTGCCCGGTTGAAGACGCTGCAAGATATGGCTTCTAACTGATGACATTGGCGATCTTGTTGTCAGTTTCTATCCAGATTGTCTGAGTGAGTGCTTGGAGGTCTAAGGACCTCGGAATAATTGTGGTAAGCTAGCACCAAGTCTCTCCCTCGTCCACCTTTATTCTTTTCTTCACAATAAGGCTTTCAGATAAACCATAATGGTACGGTAGCGAAGCATCGGTGTTGAACGCGATGCCATGTTGTCAATGATGATGATGATGATGATGACGACGATGATGATGATGATTCGGATGATGATGATGATGACGATGATGATGATGATGATGATGATGATGACGATGATGATGATGAACTCGTATGAGATGACGATGATGATGATGATGATGAATCGATTTCTTCGTTTACGAATTATCGGCGAAGTATCTCAAGAAACTGCTCAGCAAGGTAATCATGTGGTGAAGCCGGCCAATCAGACAACGTAACGACTGCGACTGCTGATCGATACAAGTCGCCCAAGAAAAATGTCTGAGCCACTTTAAGCTCATTGCAAGAAACGCTCGCAATTACTTGTGGATGGCTGAATAGCAAGCAACTTCAAGGAGAACAACGAGGCTAACACAAGATTTATTACTGACTGTCTTCACACGCCTAAATCTGTTGATGCCAGCGATCCCTGAGTTTTAAAGCCCATGCTTGGGAATGAGTTAAAGTAAGTCAAGGAGGCTCTAAGAGCTCCTTTTCACCACAGTGCTCAACTGGTACGATATTTGAGGTATTGCGATACATGCATGGACGTAGTATACTACTCATAAGGGTATTGAAGAGCGTTCCGCAACATTATTTATAGTATATCATGTCTATACAAATATCCAGGGTATTCAGAAGTACTTAATTTGAAACAAAATTTCCGAAAATTGCACTTGCCATTTAAATATATCCCCGATAGATCAATTTAACCCCTACCTTGCTCTCTGTTCTCAGCCAACATCTGCCGAATATTGAGCGCGCACAAAATGTTCTCTTTGTCAGCCAGTAACGATTGCTTGGCCGGTAGTTCGTCCGAACAGGAGAGAATCACACAGGTTGAACACTTTTCCACACCCGCCGCTCGTAAGTAGGCTCTACTGAGGGGTGATCCCTGAAATGCGTAACAGAAACTGGGGCAAATTAGGGACTTGAAAGAAAGGCTTCAGTTGATCTTTCAACCATCGAACTCATCAGCACACATCGAAAAACGTGCAGACAGTAGAAGTTGGAACAATTAAAACTGACTGAATAACGCTCATTTAGGACCTGACCGGATCAAGCTCTACCCTGTCCGACCGGTTCATCCTCACTAGCAATGTTTACTTGCTATTTGTAATAATTTTATTTATTATTATCCATCTAGATTTATCAACAGTATTGATTGGTACTTGTAAATTCACCATTCGTCAACAATGTATTGATATTTTGAACCAACTGTGTCACTCTTTGAACCTTTGTGTAGTCATCGCGTCTGGTTGAGCAAGGCGTCCCTGGTTAACCCCTAATAAGCCAAATCCCAGAGTAAGGACACTGGGATGCACTTAATCTGTCACGCCTGATATCTCTAAACTAGAGATCAAACGCCAAAAGCCGAGACCATAGTCCACAGTTTGTCCACTTAGGCCTAGGAAGTACGCCGCAGGCGGTCTCGTAGTGTCAGTTAAAGCAAGTTGACTTCTGTTCATGAAAAGATCCGTTCATTATGGGGACCGGTTTCGAAGGCAGGTGCATGATACATCGCCCACGTGAGCCAAATGCGTGAAATATCCTACTCGGGCAGATGATCAGAATGGCAGAAACGGAGTTGGCTGGATGCAAGTACTCGAAATATGTTAACCCTTTTCGCAGTGAGCTTGGATTTGAACTATTCTGCCCACCTCACACAATTCACATGCATGAGTGACTGAGAGACCTTTCCATTGCTGAGTATCGTCGGTTTCCCGCACAATGCTAGTGTGAGGTGGAATCCCACACAGATCCCGCTTTACCGCTTGCAGTTAGGTGCCGCTACGGCCTGGAAGTCTATCCCGCACAAGATTGGGATACTTGTCGGTCTGGCATCAAGCTGAGATCTGATTGGTCGAAAGTCTGGACTCAACAGCCAATCATGACCCGGTATTGGCCCACTTACACTATATATATATATATATATATATTACTCGCTGCTCAGATATTTTTGACTTCGTTTTGGGCATTAATGTACTTTTTGCACCTTGGTGGTTGTTTTTGACGTGATCGTTCGTCTGAAAGTTTCAGACCGAGGACTAAGCTGACCATAATACCTTTACTACAGCTAGTTTCCTTCTTTTCTTTTCCTGCTGCTTGGGGTACACATCTGTTTTTGATTTGTCATCACCTTAGCAAGTGTGAGACCATGCCTAGGCACTAGTTTTGTATGATGCACCAGTCAGCCAATCGTATGAATGTTTTACGTCCCTTAATGTCCCGGAAGATTATGTATACCTTCTTTAAACATTACAACAGCATTTACGACATCGGAGTTCCTACACCCACATGTGTGGGCAACAGCCTACCAGTTAAGCTAAGGAGTTCCTCTGTACTCAACTTCCATTCACCAGACATTCCATTCTCAGACCTTTAGACAGGTTAGTCTAGGTTCCATCGGTTGCCATCCAACCTCTATTTGGGCCTACTTGTGATTCACCAGGTCCTTGTTCTCAGGCATCCCAAGAAAGTGACAAAGTTTGGTTGAGTCTCAAGGAACGCAATCGTCGACGTATTCCGACGCTCCTTCCGATTGCCTCCAAAGGACGGTTTCTGACAGCCTTCGTTGTTAACCAATATCACACATCTGTGCCAACTAGAAACCGTTACCGACCAGATCGGTGTGCCCTCACTTGGTCAACTGCAAATGATCAGGGTTTTCCGACTTCACATCCCACCTTTTCGTATGCCATGGGGAACACAGCAGCGATTTCCCACTAATTGCATGCACACCGTCTGCTTTCCTACCGTATTTTGTTTTGTGATCCAGTAGAGATGTAGTACGCATGATTTTGAAAAGTAACTCGTTTCCCTAATAATCGACTGCTTTGGCAATCATATTGTGGATAATCACACCAGATTCAAGGCAGAGAATCAAACAGGACTTCTGATGCGCGCAGAATGCTCCTAGGTAGATCCTGCAAGCATGGGTTAATCTAAAGATGATCTGTGCACGTGGGGTATCCGGTCACCTGATATGACCGACACTTCCACCAGCGAACTTCAATGCGTCCTAAGACAGCCAAAGAAACAAAACGGTCATATTCTATCACAAAAACGACAGACAGAAAGAATCGTGTGAAGTATTAGCTGATCCAAGTGTAACTCACGGACAAGACGTAGATTTTGGGGAAATTGCGCAGACTGTACCATTCCGTCCGCACTAGGTTCTCGTCACAGAGGAATATTATCGGACGAAGCTCCTCCATTGGGATTCGGGTAGAACGGAGTGGCATGACAAAACTCGCGAGTCCCAGCTTCGCGTCAGATGTCTGCTTTGTTAGACATACCAAGATATGTCCACTCAATGACCACTGAATAAGATCCCTGAGCGACTGGAAAAAAACAAGAGGATGAAAATTGTCATCGTTTTCACACTACCGTTCACTTTTATGAGTAGTATATTTTAAACACGACTTACTAGGCAAGCAGATGTGAATGGTCGGTCGGGGACCCAGTAGAACAAACCAGTACTGTCACGCATGATGTCGATTGTGGTCTTCGGTTTGCTGCCATCCTGTAGTTTCGGTTGCTCATAATCTTTGGCATGGTCCACAACTCTTTGGTGAATTTCAGATGAAACTGCTCGCCTGGGAAAGTAATATTATCAGCCCTTGAATACTGGAACTTACTTGAGTACTTTTTTGCTAACAAACGGTTTCAACAGCTGACTGAGCCGGAACCCCAAGCCCTTTGAGGGACGAACTTCCAGAGACCCATATCTCGACGTGACGCTTTCCTTGTCAATGCCAGCATCTGTCAAGAGAATATGAACGAGGTTAGTTCTCAGCAGGTTTCAAGGATTTGAAAACCATTTTGGTGCCGGTATAGAGTCAGCGGTTAAAAAATTCAATTTCCCACTTCCACAGTATCTCATTCATCTGAATAGCTCGTTCAAAGGTCTAGTTTCTTTTCTGTTCTTTCGAAGAATATACAAGATCATATGTTGGTCACCGCTGAACACTTTCTCGCCAGGCAACCTCTTTCATATCTGTAGATGGCGCGTCTAATCTACTGAAAAACTGGAGGAGCTTAACGCAGTTGAGAAAGTCCATCTTCAGAGAACATGACTGCATTCCACACCAGCCACTGACCAGAGCAGGACCTTCTGCTTGAGGTGACTATTTGCTGTCCTTTTTTCTTCTCTTAAGTGTGCAACGCCACCTTCCGTAAAAGTACACACCGAAACTTGGAACAAGGTACTAAATCTCCAAGTTGGCACGTCTCTTACACACAGTAGTTTACACACGCGTGCAGTCTGGCTTGAAGAAGGTTTCGCCTATTGCAATCACAGAGGAACAGATCACTAATGGCAGGTTGTCTCTGGCGCACGTGAGGTGGAGCTGAGAGGAAGCACTGAAGTTTAGGTGCGTTGAACATGAAATTTATCGCTGAGGAAACACTTCTGGTTACCATCTGGAAGCGAAATCGATGAAAACTGTCTTGGTGGGATTGCTTCAGTTATTGTGTTTCGGTTCTGTTTTTCTGATCGCTTGAGACAAACCTATGATGATAATAGACTGTTGATTCCCCCTGTGAATTTTTTTCTGACTACTCATGAGTAACGTCATTGCTTACAAGTTCATGTCGGTTGTACCTATTTTCGAGCGTCCACTCCGACGAGAAAGCGGACCGACTGGGTAGCCCATGTACCGCATCTACCGGATAGCCTCTGGCGAGATTTGTTTTAAACGGGCGAAACCGCGCAATCTGACCTGTCACGTGACACGAGCCGCCGCGTCGCGCCGCCAAACGAAAAACAGTCCCCCACATCCCAAACGTCATGATTTCTGCGCCGTTATCTCTCTGTACTGCCAACTCACACTGTCAGACTGCCCCTATATGTACGTTTGTACATCGTTTGGTACTTACTTGTTGTCGCCCCTATAGAAATCCGTGCTGTGACAGTGACTATTTCCCGCTCCTGCTGATGGCGTCATTGTTGATTGTACGTTTGCTTAATTCATAATGCTTACTAAGCCGTTTGTCTGTAGAACCAGTTCCTGTCAGTCCTCAATAAATCATCTGCTACCCCACGTCGATCTGCTCCTATTGACTACTGGCTGCGAACTGCGTATAATCCAATAGCCGAAATCGTCCTGTGAGATCCACAACCGCCCGGATCTTACACCGTCTTACTTTAGCTTGCTTCTACTGGTATTCAGCTCTTGCCTCAGCGTGTCATCCAAACAAGTCGTTCTAGACCTTGAGGCAAAACAATGAACCAGGGGTTCCTTTTTGCTCTGTATGGACAAAACCACAAACGTTCATATACAGTCGGCTCCAGATTCCTTTGTCGTACAGGCTTCGTTGTGAAGAAAGCCGTCAGTCCCTCCGGCCAGCTGTAGATCCAGAAAGAACACCCAGTGGTTCGCTTCTCAAGCGACTGTAAAGTCATATCGAATCGATCTAAGTAGCAATCTTTATCAAACATACAAGAGGTATCGTTAGTAAATCTATAGTATAGTACAGAAGGAAGTCCGATGTCTTCAATCGATTTTTTGTTCTCGAGCTTGGTCGCGTGACCAAAAGACCCACAACTGGATTTCATAAATCCTGTTCGGCCATAACTAAACAGAATACCAGGGTCGAATTACAGGCGTCCGGTTACTTCAATGTAGGTGTAAATTTTGTCGATCAATTCATTCGTAAACTTTAAAGGAGATAGAAATAGTGGTAGAGAGACCCGTTTGCGTCGGAAACAAGTATCATCATCATCATCATCATCATCATCATCATCATCATCATCATCATCATCATCATCATCATCATCAGCTGAAATTACCGCGTACACGTCGTACAGTGCTTGTGGTTGCCGCAGTTTCGTTCACCGATGGTTTGAGGGGAGGGGTAGGTAGCTTCGCATTTGAGGCGGGAGCTGCTAAATTAGTGCGTAAATACAGCACCGTCAGTGGACTGTCAAATGGGGGGATTGGGAATGGAGCTATGCATTTAAGGCAATAGCTTGGATGCATGAGGGCGCGACTGGGCCATATGTTGCATTGTCTCTAACCACTGATGTGGCACGTCTCCGGGTCCCCATTCACGAAGACGGTGGTGACCAGTGCAGTTGAGTTTGTCGGTAATGACTTTCATACTTCGCTGCCAAGTCACTATTTGACCTCCCCTGGCTCGTTTCTACCCTTCACCTGGTTGTGCAAACAAGGCGGTGGAGGGATCACAGTCTGTGCGGAGACGGCAAGATCTGAGTGCTGACCCCACATATACTGGCCCACAAATGGCGAAGATGGCATTGGACAAAGATGAGAAACAGGGCACAGAACAGAAGGTAGTTTGTTCGAAAATTCCATATTGACCGGCTACTGAACAACTCTAGCAGTAGTATATGCTTGGCATGCGCAGGGTTGTAGGACTATAGCATCGACTTACCACTGCTACGCATCTGGAGTCTGGATCGACAAGTGCGAAGAGGTTCATGCAAATGAAATCCGCTGTCAGTTTTGCACGCGACGCAGTAAGCTCTCAGACTGTAACAGAGGAAAAGAAGTTCTTATAGGTCAGGCGTCGATGACTGAAAGGAATATCTGCATTGAACTAACTTGATAATTTCCCATTCCTTTGCTTACTCCGCCTATGTACCTTTGATCTCCATCTGTTTTTTCTCATCTGTACGCAATACTCATCATGCCGTAAAGGCCGTCCCATCCGACGCTTGTATAATAGCATGTGTCTGTGCATGAATGTGTATGGCTTACCTATGCGCTTTCGCGCCCCATCTGTTGAACCTGTCATCAGTTGTTTTCCTATGAGCTCCATGTGATCGCATTGCCAATGAGCACCACGAGACTGTCGTCGGAGGGGACGACCCTCACTAGTGAGCCAACATTTCGCTCACCGTTGTTTGGTGTGCGAATGTTGACACTACGCTGTGTCGGTCAATGGCAAAGTTATGCATTTGTTGACGCTACGACTTAGACCATGTCATTGTAAAAGAAGAGAGCAATACTCATGTGTGTTCAGGAGGAAAACCGTTTTTCTTCAGGCTGAGCGCTGCCTGTACCTCATACTGTTGTCTACCTGGAAGACCGCTGACTTCGTCGTGGTCCACCACTTGGAATCTACAGCACTGAGCGCCTTACATCTAGTTTTTTACACACAGGTGTTGCAAACAACCTAGGTTGTGTCACAACCCTCACAATCGTGCAACACGGTTTGCCCAAAAGATGGCTTTTATGAGCCAACGATCTTTCTTGCCACTTTTCACGGAGGCAAGCCGTCCCTAATAACCGAACATCACATCATTTGGACGGATTTGTCACGTGCACGACATGGACCAGACGAAGGCATGCCATGATTGGTCAGAATGCCAGCCAATCCGGATCGAACATCTTTGACTAGACGGCTATCGCCCCCTCACGGAGATTCTGGCACGACCTTGTGGAACACTCTGTGACTACCCTATAAATACAGTCGCAATAATTTTCCTTTGTCTCCGTAAAGGGCTATGTAGACCTACCGTGCCTTGTGATATACCATAGTGGGCGGAGCAGGAAGCCAAGAGACCGATACAGAGTTGCACTACCGTTCAGCAAGACACAACACACACAGGGTTGATACAACTAGGTGTGAATAGATGTACAACGAAAGCCATGACGGACAACAGGGGGGTTCTGCATATAGCTTAAATTTAAAACAGCTAGAACAGACTAGGATGTGGAACATCGGTACGAACTCTGAAGCACTCGTAAATAGCAAAATGTCTGTGACTTACTGTTGCGCATGTAAAAAACTGTCCGCCAAAACAATGGCTCGCATCTGCTGAGAATTTATCCGCAGATAGGTACCGGGGTTGATGACAATCTGTTCGACAGTGTCTTTCTGCGAATATATGTGTACCGCCACCAAGAGTAATTGAAGGTTTTGCATGGCTATGCTGCAGAGAGGGCAGGGATGGGAAACGTTGGAGAAATGTACCATATAAGTTGAAGGAAGATGAGAAACGTTTGACCGCATCACCAGTTCACCGTAAAACACGCCAAGCTGCAAAACCCAAGTTGATTGTCTTACGTTGCCGGATCCCAAGTTTGACGTAAACCTTCTTTCTCCAGAGGGCTACGAAGCGGAAAGCGGGTGTTTACTCGCTGATGCAAAATGATCGGGAAATTTGTGTCAATGAGTGGGTAGTGTTTTCCCAAGTGTGATAAAACGTAGAAATTGTCAAAATTGATTGTGTTCAGTTCAAGGCCAAACATACGTACTTGCAAGGTATCGATCAAATCGTTAATGGTCTAAATCCCTGGTACTTATTTCTTTTCCCCGTCAGCGTTGTTTTGTGAACTGTGAATGTGTTTTGATAGACCACTTCACACAACTCTGAGCAGTGCATTACCAAAACGAGTCTGGTCTCAGAAGATTGAGTTTTGAGGTGAATTCTGGGCCTAGGTCTTAGTTACGGACACAATGCGTCCATCAATCAATCGTTCCAGCCATAAAAATTCGTTGCGAACGCGTAGGGTTGATAATGTGCAAGCAAGCAATTTGCCGTCACACGGAGCGGCAGAAAGGAGGGAACGATCGTTATCTCCCCTCTGTAAAGACCAACTGAGAGATAACCGATAAAAGCTAAGTACACAAAAATGAGAAACAGACTTTGTTGAAACAACAAGTCTCTAGCACGGAAGCTGAAAAGATCCCTTTTCCACCGATTGCTTTGAAACTGTATGCCTCACTCTGTCAACTGGTTCCAATGAGGACAGAAACTGTCCGTGACTAGATCAACTGTAAACCAAGATATTCAGCCGGCGTAGCCATGGCGGGAAATTCAGCAGAAAACGCGGTTTTGCATTGCTGATTTATTGGAAACGTCAACACACGGATTTGGTTTTGACGGGAGGCCCAGCCGAATCTCTCGTTTATGATGGTCCATTTCAACTGTGTTGCATCTGATTGCTTTGAAACTGTATGCCTCACTCTGTCAACTGGTTCCAATGAGGACAGAAACTGTCCGTGACTAGATCAACTGTAAACCAAGATATTCAGCCGGCGTAGCCATGGCGGGAAATTCAGCAGAAAACGCGGTTTTGCATTGCTGATTTATTGGAAACGTCAACACACGGATTTGGTTTTGACGGGAGACCCAGCCGAATCTCTCGTTTATGATGGTCCATTTCAACTGAATGTGTTGCATCAGACGGCTTCATATTCCGCTTGGTGCGATATTCGAGATATCGTACTATGTTCCAGTCTAGAAGCAACGTTCAAATTATAAAACTGCTGTTGAAGAGTTTTCAGCAGCCTTAGAAAAAGTCTGTTACTACCTCGAGAATCACACTCATTTGCAAATCAATTTCGTATTCACAAGAGACTCAGGTGGATCTCTCGTTTATGTTCTTCAAGTTTCAGTTGGCACAATATTCGAGATATTGCAGTATATTTTCATAAAGGAAACAACTCACAAGGTTGCTGAAAACTCTTCGGCAGCCCATGACCGGTTTCGCCCTTCCACTTTGGGCTCATCAGGTAGGCACAATCCCCGAGTTTTCGTCAACCCTATGTTCTACTTGAAACCAATTGCACGAAATTAGCGAAATACACTCAGTTGCGGAGCTATATGGTTTAACGTGGGACCCAACTAGAACCCAGCTGAACCTCTCGTTTATGATGCTTCTAAGCACCAGACTGTCTCATGTCCCAGTTGGTACGATATTCGAGATATCGCGATATATGTATGGATGTAATATTGCTTATGAAGTTGCTGAAAGCTCTTCTACAGCCCACGACCGGTTTCCCCTTCTTGGGACTCATCAACCCATTCAGTGGCTTGAAGGCCTCACGAACAAGATACTCAGCTGGGTCCCAGGTGGGTCTCCCTAATCACATACCGGACAAATTTTCTAACATTCCATCTAATGGGAACAGAATTTGTGAGGCGGCCTGTGTGCAGCACATTCAGTTATAGAATATCATAAACGAGAGTTTCAGCTGAGTCTCTCGTGAAAACCAGACTGATTTGCAAATGAGTGTGTTTCTCGAAAACAGTCCGATCTGGGTTCAAGTAGAACATAAGGTTGACGGAAACTCGGGGACTGTGCCTCTCTGATGAGTCCCAAGAAGGGCGAAACCGGTCGTGAGCTATCGAAGGGTTCTCAATAACCTCGTGAGTATTTTCCTTATGTGTTACATCACGTCTCACTCCTATACTTCAAACGTGAGTGAATGCGGACGTACCAACGGTCACGATCGCACGAGACAGATTTCGTTTTTTTTTTCTGTGATGCAGTTGTTCAAGAAATCACAAACACTTAACTGACTATGAAACATTAGAATGGATAACATTTTGGTCTTTTCATACAGGTTTTCCACCAAACTGTGCATCAAAGACTGATCCATTTTCGCGCTGGTAGGGTGAACACCCAACATTTCGGCCAAACGCGACTGATTAGCCACGTGACGAACGCGCACGAAGGATATAGCACCAATCAGCTTTCAGTCAAGAATCCAAATCACGTGGTCACGTATTGACTGACTCCGCTAGCGAGGACTTGTCAAATGAGAGTTTCACTCATCTGCGAGATCGTTCTTCGTCTGAGCTAATTACGGGTTCATGGGGGGTGTGTGAATGGCTCCAACTCCTGTCTAAGTACAAATTAATCGGACTAATGAACCACGAAAAAAACGCGTAAACCCAATTTAACTCGCCTTATCAATGTGTTGATTACCTTGGTGTCAAATTGCCTAATGACTATAGAGACTGGTGGGATCCGTCACATCCATGCTGGTTAGCTCGAGCCCCGTGACAAGCATAGGCCTTTTGCTAGGAAACACCGGCAAACGGTGAAGGTTCTGCAGTCATCTCAAATCATGCGTAATTGCAAGAGAACCCCAGTCATTCGCTGACTATCTCAAGCATTCGAGATTTGTGTGAGAGATCTAGCAACAAAATCGTTCATGTCTTCTCGGTATCAACCCTGCTAAAAAAAAGTTCAGGCACATCACAAGACTTGCACGCAAACCTGGACTGTATATGGACCTCGAGTAATTTTTATCGCTGTTATCTCAACTCAGTAAGCACGTGATGTGCCCGCCTGATCTCTTCTATTCACTTTCCTCTGCATAGTTTCCGCAGCTAAGATTAGCAGCTGAATTGTAATCGAAGTGACAGTGCGTCTGAGATCCCAGACCACTGATTCGGCGGACAGCGGATCACCCGATGACAAAATAATACTGACTGCACAATTCAAAGTAGCTAGTCTTTCTTCAGGTATCATTTCGTTACTTGGTACCTTGGAGTGCAGGACTTATGATCAGGTCAACGAACGGTGAAACTCAAAAGTTGTCCGAAAACTTCTGTTCAATCTAAGGGACTGGAATTAAATAAGGGGTATTTAAGGATATTTATAGGAAGGATACTACTCACAAGTTTGCTCAACATTCTTCGACAGACCACGACCAGTTTTGCCCTTCTTGGGGCTTATCAGCCAGGCGTAGTCCACGAGGTTCCGTCAAACATATGTTCCACTTGAACCCAAATTGGACTGATTGCGACAAATACACCCGTTTCCATAGTAATTTGGTTTTCAGAAGATACTCAAATGATTTTCTCGTTTGTGAATTTCTTCAACTGAATGTGCTGCACGAAAGCCACCTCATATTTCAGTCAGTACGATTTTCGGGATTTTGAAGTATATTTGCATAAGCGAAACTACTCACAAGGTTGCTGAAAACTCTTCGGCAGCCGACGAATGGTTTCGCCCTTCGTGGGACTCATCAGCAAGGTGCGGTCCCCGAGTTNTACAGAGTTGCACTACCGTTCAGCAAGACACAACACACACAGGGTTGATACAACTAGGTGTGAATAGATGTACAACGAAAGCCATGACGGACAACAGGGGGGTTCTGCATATAGCTTAAATTTAAAACAGCTAGAACAGACTAGGATGTGGAACATCGGTACGAACTCTGAAGCACTCGTAAATAGCAAAATGTCTGTGACTTACTGTTGCGCATGTAAAAAACTGTCCGCCAAAACAATGGCTCGCATCTGCTGAGAATTTATCCGCAGATAGGTACCGGGGTTGATGACAATCTGTTCGACAGTGTCTTTCTGCGAATATATGTGTACCGCCACCAAGAGTAATTGAAGGTTTTGCATGGCTATGCTGCAGAAAAGATAGGGATGGAGAAGGTTGGAGACATGCAGTGGTTCCCCAAGTGTGATGAAACGTAGAACCTATCAAAATCGATTATGTTCGGTTCAACGTCAAACAGACGCACTTGCAAGATATCGATCAACTCGTTGATAAGGGTCCAAATCGCTGGTCCTTGTTTCTTTTCCTCGTCAGCGTTGTTTTGTGAACTGTGGTATTTTAACTTCCAGTGTGTTTTGATAGACCGCTTCACACAACTCTGAGTAGTGTATTAGCAAAACGAGTCTGGTCTCAGAAGGTTGAGTTTTGAGGTGAATTCCGGGCCTAGGTCTTAGTTACGGACATAATGCGTCTGTCGATCAAACGTTCTGGTCATGAAAACTCGTTGCGATCATAGACAAACAAGAAGGAAGGAGGGAACGATTGTTCTCTCCCCTCTATAAAGACCATCTGAGAGGTAACCGATAGAAGCTAAGTGAGAAACAACAAGTTTCTAGCACAGAAGCTAAAAAGACCCCTTTTCCACCGATTGCCTTGCAACTGTATGCCCGACTAAGTCAACTGACTCCAATGAGGACAACAAGTGCCAGTGATTAGATCAACCGTAAACCGGGATATTCAACCGGGGTAGCCGTGGCGGGAAATCCAGCAAAAAACGAGGTTTTGCATGGCTGGTTTATTGGAAAGAGGGAAGATAGTATAATAAACGTCAAAGATTGCACTTAGTTACACACGGATTCGGTTTTAACAGGTGACTCACCTGAATCTCTCGTTTATAATGGTTTGCATCAGACGGTTTCATTTTTGACTTGGTGCGATATTCGAGATATCGTAATACGTTCTGGTCTAGAAGTAACATACTAATTATAAGGTTGCTGCCGAAGATTTC